TGTGGGCAATAAAAGAATAGTGGCCATACAAGCAGATGGTGGTAGGACTAACAAATATTGTGGGCTGTTCCCGCCCTATTAAATCCCATCTCTTCAACTTACTTTCCTAGTTGGACATACACAACTGCTTTGGATGCACCAAAATTGGCCAGCGGAAGACGTCAAAGCAGCAAATTTTCCTCTGTTACCCAGACACATGTTGGGAGTAATTTCCTTGATTTCCTAAGAACTGTAGCATTAGATGCAGGGGTAAGCAATTGTTTTGGCTGGAGGGCCACTTACTGAGTTTTGGCAAGCTGTCAAGGGCCACATGGGTTGCCCTGCCCCCTGGTAACCATCTTGGGACTGGAAGTCTCATGCCCTCACCCTCAACCTTTGCCACCAGAAGTACCTCCCCTTGCCCCCAGGAGTACTCCTTTCAGCAAGGGGTTTTGCCATCTCAGACCCAGAAAAATACTAAATTATATTCTAAAAACTGAACATCTACAACATTAATTAATTTGATTTAAAAAATATTTTTGATTTACATGCGTTTGTGTAGTGTACATAGGTGATTAAAGAACAGCTTAAAATTAAGTCTTACTTTTGTATATTGTGGGGGATTGGGGGTCATGGGGATAGATTTGTGGGGGGCTGTTAGGTGTGGGGATGTGGGTGCGGGGGAGGGTGTGGGGGTGTGAGTGTAGGCTGAGGGAGCATGCGGGTGAGTATGGGGCTTGTGGGGGGGTTTGTGTGGGGGCAAGAGTGGCTGGGTTGTGTGAGAGAGTATGGGTGTGGGGTTCTCCGTGTATGGCATTGCAAGGAGGGGTGTAGGTGCATGTGTATGATGTGGTGTGTTTGTGGGACTCACCCTATGACCACACATGCACACACTCTCTCTCTCTCTTTCCCTCCCTCCCTCCCTCACTACACATACACACACACTGTGTGGAGGATCTTATTAAGGCTCCATTTAAAACCTGGGGGCTTTATTTAGCACCTAAGAATAATTTCTGTAATGAAATGCAACTCTGTATGCATATTTATGTTGTCAAAAATACCAAGATGATAAGTGGATCTTCAGGTGTCATGAGACATATAACATAGCTTATTCATACAGAAGATAAGATGTTTATGGTAGGAGCTGTATGAAATTAAGTCCAAACTAACCTAGTGTGCTGAGTAATGGTATATTTTGTGTGGACTTGTTGCCAATTGTATGAACCGTAGAAACAACTTGCTGCATCAAAATGGGAAATTATTTGAAGACATTTACTGAATGTTCTTAATAGAATCAGAGCCATTGTGGTCAACAGGACCTTCTGTATTGGCTGGAGGATAAGCAGAGGGATGGCAGAGCCCAGAGATCCTGTGGTAGATTGACAGTTTTTCTCTTTGTGTGTTTGTTTTTAGATTGGTGTAAATGCCTAGGCTTCATTCTATTTAACACTTAAGATGAAGTTACATTTACACTTAGACCCATGAAGGGCACTTAAAACATGAGCATCTGCATGTTAAAGCTTGTTAACTCATGCTAAAGAGTCCTCTTAGCATCTCAAATTTATGTTACTTCAGGTGAGGATTAACTCTGGGCCATGTTACCCAGTTCATGTTAGTAACTTCAGTCTGATTCATGGAGATAGAATGAGCACTTTGCAGTCCTTCATCATCCGAGGATGCACTGCTCCCAGCACCCCCTCTCCATCTAGAGCAGGGATAGAGTACAGGTGTCTTGGCTTCTAGCCATATCCCTGCTTGCCAGCTCTCTACTGGCAAATCTGAGCTGTGCAGGCAAGAAATGGTATTAACCCTTAGTGTGTAAATGCCCACAGTGTGTTGTAACTTATGGTCTAATTATAAGGTTTAACTTCACCCTAAGCCTGCTTTAGACTTATTTCTGGTAGTGTAAAGAAATGTAAAGTATCTGTAAGTTACATTTACACTAAATTTTAGGGTTCCTTATACTGCCAGAGAGTGTAAAGTATAAGCAGGAATCAGCCTACTAGCAGCAAACTACATCCCTCAGTGAGTTCAAAGAATGAATGCAACTGTCTTGAAACAGGGCTGTGTCAGATAGTGGTGGGCTGTGCCTATACTGCTTACACCCTGCACAGAGCTCAGCTCCTGAGAAGGGATTCCTACTCTGAAGGATGGGCTGGATCTGCTCCTGGAACCATTTTCATCCCTCAGCCACTACAAGTGGTGGTATTTCCTAAAAGCCATCCACCTATAGCATCCAAATGAAACATCACTCACAGTCAGTTGTGCAGGTCTATGCTCTTCCCTCTTCTTTCTGAATGAAATGGTTAACAGCATTGACACTCAGATTATCACTGGACCTCTGAGTTAAACCTGAGTTGAACACAGAAGGTCATGCCCCTTACCGCTATTGTTCCAGGAACTTTGCTGGCTCATCTCTGCATCAGTCACACGGTTCATATTTTTGATGTTTCCTTCATAACCATAGCAGGTAGGGACTGGCTTTTAAAATAAAAACTGCGATTCTTTGGAAGATATAGTTTCAAGCCTGTGCTAGTACAGCCTGTGGACTCCTTTTGAACCTTGTCTGATTCCCTTGTGTGCCATGCAGTTAGTAGAGTCCAAAGCTTTATATTTTTAATTTTATCAAGTGTCTGTGCTATACTAATATAAAAGATAATGCATCAAGCAGCTATTCCAAGCATTGCATTTTTCTTACCCGGCCCCCACAAAAAATCTTTTATTTTTCTAGCTCTTGACACTACAGTATAGGATAGCAAGTAGTAGGGTTGCAATGAACTGAGGAAAGCACTTTTTGCTTGAAAGCTTGTCTAACATTTCCTCCACCTCTATGGTTGGTCCAATTAAAGGTATCACCAAAAACCTGTTGTTTCTCACATATAATATAGCAAGGCAGACATGAAATGATAAGTCCAGTTTTTCCATCTAAAACTCTTTGGATCTAAAACTGAATAAGTTCAATTTATTAAATAAAATGGAACTAATTCTGATCTCAGTCTTTATAGTGTAAATTGTGAGTAAATTAACTGGAGTCGATACAGTTGTACTGGCATAAGTGAGATTGAAACTGAGTTTGCTGTTTTTTTCCAGACAGCTTTATACAGTGCAAGAGGGGAAGCTTTTGTCTGGAGAGAGATTTTGAAATTAAGTTGAGGATTTGGGGAATGTTTCCTGCTTTTTTTTTTTTTGTGATTCACCTCTCCTGCAGGGTTTTTTGTACAGAGGTGTAGCGATGTGGCTGGGGGAGCTGCCACAATCAAGTGGCTGCAGTGACAGGCTGTCACTGACAGCCATTTTTTCCACCCCCTTTGAAGTCCCAGAGCAGCTGCCCCTGTTGCCCGGCTGTTGTTACACCACTGTTCTTGCATCTTGCTCTGAAAGAGATGGATGCTATCTATTTATGGCTGGAGACACAAAACTAGACTGGATGGGGTACTGTTCCTGTACAGAATGGCACTTTCTATGTAAAATATCAATGTGTTGCACATATTACATTTCATAGTCATCTTCTGTAATCTGAAATGAGTGAGACATGGACACCATATGCTCTACTGGTAGGAATAGGTATAATTCCATTGAGGACAATGAAGCTGTGATTGTTTGCATCAGCCTGGAATTTGGTTGTTTATCATCACCAATACAAAAACTCACATTAAGTTACCAAAATGCTGTTAGGTCAGGGCTTTTTTCCTACTGTAATTTCTAGTGGTTTTTAAATAATACATTTATACATTATGAATGAATTTTTGATGACAACTTACTAGAAGTGAGAGGCTGCTAAGGATAGGGGACTGGTGCTGTATAAGCCCAGCTGTGCAGGGATTGGTGGGAGTTACAGTTTATAGTGCTCATTGCATCCTCCCTTCCACCTCCCACTCCTGTTCAGGTTTATGTCTCCTACCTGGTGAATGGGAGCTCCTGGGTGGGGGGAGGGAGGGAAAGAAAGAGTTAATAAGCAAGGAACCTGAGGCATGGAGAAACCTAGTGACTTGCTAAATGTCTAAAAGTCCAAGATATTTAAATTGGGTGAGTAAGCTGGCTGGCCAATCGATATGGGTACCTGAATAAAAGATTAGCTTTGTAAAAATGTTATATACCCAACAGGCTACATTTACTTTGATGGGAGCTGCTGGTTTGTACCAGGACTGCTGAAAATGGGATCACTTATATAGGTGCCTTCCCATGGCCTCAGAAGTATGCCTTCAAATTTCTATTTCTGCAAATCTCTGGAAGAATCAGTAATACTACAAACCATATATGCCTTTTTGCAAGCAGAAGGGAATGCTTCCTTTCCACAACACTGGAGAATCGATGTGCCAAAAGCCAGATGGATAAACTAAAAATATTGCTATGCATTCTTAGGGACCGTGATCCTGAATTAGAGCAATAAAACTCGCTCACTTAATTGGCTGCAGGTAAGCACAGGTGTTCAACTCTGTAAGGCTTTTCTAAATAGCTCCATCCAGTGTCCCATCACAGACCAGAGAGATAAATTGTTACTATTTTCAGGGAAAGGAGAAGAATAACCAACAAATGACAGAGAAATCCAAAAGCAAGTTTTAAAGCAACAGCAAAGGGAGAAAAGCAGTTCTTGGATATAAGAATGTTAATGAGAGAAAGAAAAAACAGATTTTTTTGCTTCATCTACATACAAGTCATTTCTCCTCCTGTTGCACTGGATCATGTCAGTTTTTTAAAAGAACTATAAATAAGTAACCTGACTTTAAAAAATGCTGAGTGTTTATCTGTTTCCATCAATCATTCCCTGTGGTGGCTTTCTTCTGCACTGTGCGCTTTGTTCTGTTCTCAGTATAATTGGTTGAAATTCAAGCCACAGAGAGCTCCTGACCCAGTGCATCAACCCTCTTGCTAAAGCCCATGCAGGCTTTAAAGATAGGATAGCAAAACTCTGACAAAAGAAAAGAAGAAATGAAAAAGAATACCTTTTACATATTCAGACGGAAAGCTCTCTCCTTTAACCATGACATTGTTCAATGTTCAGTGTGCAACAATCTACATACCTGTTTCCAAACATAATCCCAGAGGTGCACTCCTGCTTCTTTTTTCTTATTAGTAATCCCACTTAACAGTGCTGTTTGGAGGGCACCACTCATACTGGAAACTGCAAAGCATGTTCATACTGGCTCAGTAGCTGCCTCTGCCTGGATATATAAATCTGTCTCTTGGGGAGGGTGCAATATTTGTGCTTGTCTCTTTCCTTTGATGGAGAAAGGATGACGTTTTGCTGGGCTGGCTTGTTGGCACCCTTTGCTTTCTGAGCTCCTGGAATACATCACATGGGGAATGGATCATGTGGCTATTTTTTCCCCCAGAATCTAGCAATCTTGTTCCTCCTCCTTCCCTCTCACCCTGCCTTTCAAGCAAATTGGCAGCAGTCATGGATGAGATTCTGCCCTTGTCTGATCTTGAGACTGCCAAGTGATTGGGATACTCATCCGCTTGCCAGTGTCCTACTGCCAGCCTCTGGTTTCCATGATCATTAGGAGACAGAAACAGAGAAAGGAGAAAAGTCTTCTTCTGCAGCAGCAAATGCTAATTTCTCTGCAGTCTGCTTTTAAATCCAAGGCAAAAATGTTTCGGTTCTTAAAAGATGTTCAGTACCATGGAGAGCAGCACACTGCCTGCCTGGCTGATCATTTGTGCATATATTCAACAGCCATTGTTACACCGGGGATGTGATGATTTCATTAGCTTCTCTTTCTCTGTCAGTTTTCAAGGCAATGCAGTCACTAGATGAAAATGCAATGTAGCCTTTCCTATAGGTTCTTCAGAGCTGGAGTCTTTAACCCACTCACCTCCAATTGTACTGGAGAATGTCCCCATCATTTTATAGCCAAAATTTCAATTTTGTGGCATTCTTTCCCTGCCCACCCCATTTGCCTCCAAACCCAGTTAGGGGCAACCCTAGTATGGAAACCTGCAGCTGTTCCTGCTGTGTCTAGCTAGCAGTGCTGCTGACGTCCTGGTTGCTATGGTGCTGTGCTTTTTGTTAAAGAGGATGATTGCCTTCAGTGATGGTCACCATGGGACCCTGGCAATTGAAAGAAATGGAGAGAATGAATGAGGGAGGAGGCGAGGAGGAATATTTAATCAGCATCCTCTGAGTTGAATTTCTTCATTTTATCCTGTTGTTAACATACAGTTAGTTACATTCCCTTTAAAACATCAGAAATCCATGGTTCAGCCCACACTCTAATCTACCTTGCTGCTACATGGCACCTTTTCTTCAGCAGAAGGCATTGCACAGACACCATCTGCCTTCTGTTCACTCTCTAGTGCCCTCCGTGCAGCAGGATAAAGAAATTATTGCCCTTTCCTAAATCCCCATGTGCAGATAATGACAAATGATTGCCACAAGCCACTGTTGCCTGTGTGAAATATGTTGCTGTGACTTTAAGGGAAAAATAAATAATTTTGATTGCGTTTGGAGTTTTTCCCGCCTTTCATCTGCTGAAGGGATGCCTGTGTGGGCAGCTTCTATCCTGAAACAAGAAAATTCATAACCAAGGAAACTGTGGTGTGTGGCTTTTCATTGCCCATTAGCCAATGCTATAGGTGCTATTGTCAAAATAGGTATGTATGGCTATATGACTATAAAATGCCCCTACAAAACTACAAATAGTTTTGCAGCTTTGCCTGTCACAATCAGCAATACCTCTTCATTCATTATGAATCAGCTAGTGGATAGATGTTGTTTTCCATGTTAGTGCTACACAGCTGTGAATTCTGGGGGGAAGTTTCCTTCACCAGATTTGGAGGCATTTTTTTGTGTTTGTCCAAGGCATTCATAAATAAATGACTCTAACCACAAGTATGGGAAAGAGTGCTGCAGCCTGCCAGACTGGCAGGCACAGAATATATTGTAAAGATAAAGTAAAACTATATATACACTGGCATTAGCAGATTCAAAAGAAAGTAATTTTAGTTCACACATGCAGAGTCAACACGTTTGCATATCTCATAATATTCTGTGCCTCTTCCTACCCTATCAAAAATGTATTCATCCCATTATTCCCCCATGATGCCCCAAAATGAGACTTGCTGGGGCACAGGCCTTGTTCCATTCAAAGAGAAAGGGGTGAACTTCACTCATGAATAGTCCCAGTGATAACTTCTGACTAAGGATTAGTGGCCCAAGATAAGGGTCCCAACACTGGATACCTGGGGTGCGTCTGGATGAATGTGCATGTGTGGAGCGTGATGTTGCACATCATCTGCAGCACCACAGACTGCACACACTGTGATCTGAATAAAGCAGAGTGGTGCACATGGAGGCAGCATGTGCCACCCAAAACCGGAGCCTGGCCAGCTGGAGCCACACTCCAGCTGTTGGCCAGGTTCCACATACCAGATCGCTGCTGCTGGAGCCCCAGGAGGCTCCCAGGACTCCAGGTAAGGCTGCTGGGGCCAATCCAAGTGCTGGCCCCAGCCCCTCCTTCCCCACTGGGGTCAACCTGCTGTGCACTAGAGTGCATGTGCACAGGGGTTCTCTGGGTACAAGTAGTAGTGGCACAACTATGTGCTGCTGCTATTTGTCCCCAGGGAAATACACATGCATGCTCATCTGGATGTGCCCCTGGAGTCCATTCTTCATTCACCATAAACTAATTGCTCCAACCTATGGATAAGACCCATCCCTAATAAAGCTGCCCCTTCAGTATTACCTGCATTAAAAATGGTTCAGTTTGTGGTTAAAATTATAAGTGACTTTTACTTGCAGGTGTTTGGTTGGAGACAGAGTTCTTTCATTCTTTCAGTGCTCCTGTCAAGACAACTGGCTAAAGGAATATTTTAAAGTATAAAGGCTTTGAATTCGGTGTGGCTAGGGACTCCAAAGTTTTCTTGCTTCTGGAATACATTTGATGTTGTTACCAATATAATGTGATGTGTGTGTGCATATTGCCAAATATGCCCTATGGAGTTATAATATTGTGTTCTAATGAAACTTCTTGTAACATTTCAGACTATCAGATGAAATATAAAGTTAGGTGGGGGGCAATCATTTTATTCTTTTTGCTCACTATCTTCAATCTTATTGGTGTATTTCTCCTTGAACTGTAAACAGGGGAAGGAAATTCTTCTCACCACCTGCTTTCAAAGCACAACAATGAATGGGGCTCATTCCATTGGGAAATGGTTGGTGGGGATAAATTGGGCACTACCAAAATACAGGTAAAATATAGTATTTTTCTCCTTAGCCAACCTCCATTTCAGATACTGCATCTTATAACTTAGTTCAGTGATTATCAACCAGAGTGCTGTGGCACCGTGGAAGTCTTGAGATCCTTTCAAGGGTGTTGTGGAGTGCCATGCAATGTGTGCACTATTAGATGTTGCAAACATGATTCAGAAGAGGAACCCAGAGATTTCACATAGGAATCCATTGTGTTACAACTGTCCTACCCTGTTGTGATCTTTCTGAGTTTGCTGAAGAGTGCCTTAAATCTAAAAGTTTGAGAACCTCTGACCTGCTGGAGCCTTGGTGGACCATTGAGCTAGCTTGGTTAAGGTGGGTCAGTTCCTGCAAGCAAGGGCAGGCAAGGGATTGATGTGGCCAGCTGTCATATATTTCCCAGCCTGAATGATTAGCTATAGCTGTATTGGCAGGGGCAGCCTTCTGTGTGAGTCCAGATAGAGCAGGGGTTGGCAACATTTTTGGGCTGAGTGCCAGAAAACCCCACAATGTTTTAAAGATGTTGGCATGCCAGGGACAGACAGCAAGGATGGTGCTAGGGGCCCAGTCTTTGTCTTGGTAGTGCAGCCCTGGCCTCTTTTCTGCCATACTCTCTGAGGCATGCCTGCAGCCGCTGCCAGCAATGAGCTGGACTGGGGCTATGGACCCCGGTGCACCCACTTGCAGCCTTGTGGTTGCCTGCTGCAAGCAGCCTGTGCTCTGGGCAGGCTTCTGTCCATCCACCATGGCTTCTCACAGTACGCAGCCACAAGTCTGCAAGCAGCTACACTGGGGTCTGGAGCCCTGGCTTAGCTTGTTGCCAGCAGTGATTGCATGTGCACCTTGGGGAGCATGGCAGAAAATGGGCCAGGGCTGCACTGCACCCAGCTTCTTCCTTGCTGTGTGTCCCAAGGTGTGTGTGCAGCTGCCAGTGACCATGGAGCCAGGCTGGGCTCCAGACCCTGGTGCAGCTGTTTGCAGCCTGCCTGCCCCCTTCTGTGAGCATCCTGGGCTCCATGGTAGTGGCTGCTGTACACGTGCCTTGTGGTGTGTAGAAGGGAAGGGGCTTGAGACAGTGCAACCCTGGTCCCTTCCCTGCTGTGCACCCTGAGGTGCATGTACAGCCATCACTGCCACAGAGCCAGGCCTGGGCTCCAGACCCTGGTATACCATTTGCAGCCTCCTGGCTGCCTGCCAAAGCTGGCCCAGGCTCTGGGCAGGTGCTGTCTGCCATGGAGCTTGGGCTGCTTGCAGCAGGGCTTGCAGCCTCCTCACTGCCTCCCGTGAGCAACCTGGGTTCCGTGGCTGGTGGCAGCTGACCAGAGCCTGGGCTAGCTGTGGCATGTTGAGCAAAATGACCTCATATGTTGTGCCCTGGCATTTGTGTGGGGGGTTGTTGATCCCTGAGATAGAGACTGAAACTCATAATTTTGGAGCAGGTGCCATAACTACATGAACGCCATACCCTGATAGTTTGGACCAGTAATTCAGCTGATGACTAGCTGTGGTAATGCAGGGTGGACAGGGGAGAATAAAATCCTTAATGTTTGCATTCTTTCTATTTTTAAATAAGGAAATACAAATATGCCTTGATTGTTTACACTACATGGGGGGAGGGGAGGAATGCATTCTGAGAACAATTTTCACAGAAAAAGAAGAATTAATATATTTTATATGATGGGCATAATACTATTGTATCTCTTCTGTTACTGTACATTAGAATGTGGCTTACAGAATAGTATAACAGTAATATTGGGAATCACATTTAAAGTAGGGTTTTACTGAGTTTAATGAGACTATTTAATTTATATTATTTTATTCTATTGGCCTGCATAAAAAAATTGCTCCATTTTTCTACTCTGTGGTATTCCTCAAAAGGCGACTTTTAATTGCTTAAATTGAATGGAAATATTATTGTTAAGTTAATGACATCTCTGGGGTATAACAACAATACTGAGTTCCCACCCAGTGTAGCATGGTGTGTCCTAATTAGCAGTCTCTTTTTCCCAAGAGACAACCATGGCAAGAGCTTCAAGAGCCTTACAAACTCAGTTTGCTTTTCATTAGCATGTCTATGTGTGCAAGCTGTACAGTGCAGATTCATGTACTCTATGACTCTGCCAGGCCCTCCTGGTGCTTCTACTGGTAACAAATTCATGATGATATGTTAATTTTGTCTGCTAATTCCAGAACAGCTTTACAGCCATGCATTGGGTGCCATCCTTCAAGGTACCTGGTGGTGGTGGTGTTTTTGCAGAAGTCATGCACAAATACCATGCAGGTATTATAACCACAATGATTTGAGGCATGAAATGTTCGTAAGTGTGCCAGGCCTACCTGTACATATACTGCTTGGTTCAGGCAGCTTCTACAGCACAAAACACAGTGAATGCCATAGAAGGCTCACAAACTGATTAGATACTGCACTAAACACTAGCTGTTATCCATACTGTTTATCCAGAGAGGAGTTTACCTGAGGCAAAGAGTTAAAGGTATCCAGTTCCATTGACTTCAATGATGTACTAGTAACTACCACCCCTTCACAGGAAAGAAGGGAGACTGAGCCAAAAGTTAAATTTGGCCATGCTTTAATACAAGGCTGTCCAACTTCTGAGCAGCCTTCCCTGGTGTACCGGCTGTAGTGGTCTCTTTCAGACCCCCATGGCCACCCCACCCAGATGCGAGTGCAGGCAGCAGAAGCTGGAAGAGGGAATAGGACTTGGAGATCCTTGCAGCAGCAGTAGCCATGGTGAG